AATATTTCCTGAAATTTTTCTTGCAGTAAAAGCTGAGGAGAGGAATTCTTAAAACACAGACACATTATAAAACTGGTAATGATACTGAAATCTGCAAGGCATAGTCCATGGGAAGAAACGAATTAAAGAGGATCTTAATGTACAGCACTGAGATAATATGAGGCAACCATAATGAAATGTAAGTAATTAAGATTTCAGTCATGTTATACAGATTTAAAGAGACAAACCTCAAGCTGTTTCCAAATTATTTCTTTGTGGTCATTCTTGTGTTTCATAAATCTTTACTTTCTAGCAGGCATACTAACATTGACTTGAGCAACAGTTCACATTAGGGTTGGTATGGTTAAGCTAATAAGCCAACGTTTTGCAGAGAGACTCTTTCTCCATCATCAGAGATGATTCTGAAGATGGAGACAAATCAAGCCTCCAAAATACTAGCTATTAACTAAACCAAGAAAACTTTACCACATTTATTCATTGTCAAAGTTTAAACTACATTCTGTAAGATATGCGTATCTGATGTTGTCCATGCATTGTAGTTATAATAATCAGAATATTTACCCTTGTTAAATTTACCTGGAGTTGTTTTGTTCAACCGAAGTTTTGATTCTTCCTTACCTCTGCATAGCTTCAGACAGTGCTGTTATGAACATTTCTAAACATGCACATACTGGATTATACATTATAAGCCAACTTCTGCGTTTACTGCATTCACTTATGTACCTATGAAGATCTGTGCCATAGCTCAAGCGGTTAGTTGCTGGCTTCCCACCATGGCAGCCCATGTTTGATCCCAGGTCTGGTCAAGTGGGATCTGTGGTGGACAAAGTGGCGCTGGGGCAGGTTTTATCTGAGTACTTCGGTTTCCCCTGCCAATCTTCATTCCACCAATTGCTCCACAATCACCCTCACCTATCATCTGGGGCTGGTACAATAGGCCAGAAGTGGCCGCAGTACAAGGGACTTAGTCCCACCCCACTAGCAATAAAAAAATACCTATGAAGACTGAAATTAGAATTATGTATATTGTATTTACATTTGCAATTAATATACATTATCACTGTCATCTCAAATATTACAACCAAAACTGGAAACTATAATTGTAATGTACTGTATTGTATTGTATTTATTATACGTTCCAGCACAGCCATACAAGGCCGAAGCCATTGGATACAGAACCTGTCACACTAGCCTGTTTCTGCTTTCATTATACATAACATATTGTGACACAGCTATAAAAGTGTTTCGAGTATACATTGTTTTGTGAATTATATTGTATGACTTGTTGCTGTGATCTTATTTCAGGCCATACAGAATGACAGGTAAGTATTCATTAAGGTATGCTACTATTTATTATCACAGTACAGTCAAATACAATATGAGTTCTTGAAATTGGTTTTAATTCGTCATTATCTCAACGTGTTTTGATATTTCCAGTGTCATCCTCACGGGTGTATATATATATATATAAGTAATACAAAAGAAATTAGCTCAATGTTATATTCCATGATTGTATATAATTTTAGAAAAAAATAATGTTCTCATGAAACAGTCTTACATACAAAATAACTTCATGTTTTACGAATAACATATATTAAAATTCATGTATGCAATTCAAAGATTTGGATTTGAAAGCTGTGTAAAAAAGGTACATGACTGATGGCATGATGAACAAACCACAGGGATATCCATTAAGACTATGCATTGACTTTTAAGCTAAAACAAACAAGGTAATTTTAGAGTGATAATAATTAAATTAAAATATATAGTTAATTTATTATGAACATATGTACTAATTGTATCACTAAATTAGTAGAGTTTATCCAATAGAAATTAATGGGGAAGACCTTATATATATAGAAGTGTCAGGTTGTAGTTGAATAAACCACTCAGTAAGTTAACTAGCAAACAGGTATACGAGGGTGGTTATTGCAATTTGAGTACTAAACATATGTAAAGAAGGTCCTAATGACATAAACACTACACCTCCTCAGATACAACTACTTATACATATACTGTTGGACAGTCTAACTGCAACCACACTGAGGGCTACATTGTGCACACGCACAATATAGAGACCCTAGCAAATACCAACTCACACTTGAACAGATAACGTTTTCTCCATTAACTTCTATCAGATGAACTCTTAATGAATTAGTGCAGTGGTTCTCAAACTTTTTACCTCTCAGCCCCCCTGACAAGAGAAAATACTCTCAGGCCCCCAGCCTGTTTTTTTTATCAAAACAGAAGTCATGGTATGTTTGATGTTTTATTCAGTTTATTTAGTGTTTTTCTACATACTATTCAGCAGTAGTTTACTCAAAATTAAAGTATCACAATATCAGGCCTACAATAAAAATTAGTTTTAACATTTGCAATTAACCAAAATATGTACTGAAATGAAATGATATTTGACTAACAAGTATTTAATTTTTTCTGCAAAGAAAATCAAACATTTAAATGCCAAAGTTCAGTGTGATGGTTGGGCCTGCTTTTGAGAACAAAGTTTATCAAAAGTGGTGTAATATCAGAAATGGCCACTCTAACTTATTTAGCAATATTTAGCTTTGTACGATACTTTGACTTTATAGCTGCCAAAGCAGAAAAGCCTGTCTCACATAAGGAAGTTGTTGCGAAAGGAATCAGGATCTTCAATGCTTTTTGGCTCAAAGTTGGGAATTCCTTGCCAATATGTATCCAGACCTCCAACAAAGACAATTCCTTAAATTTACTTTTTAATGAAGTATCTCTACTGAGATCGATGAGTTGTTCTTGCTCATTTACCTTTAGAGATGATGGCCCAGAAGCATTTTCGAATGGATTTTTAATCCAATTAAATTTATCAAAATCATTGCAAAAGTATTTTTCGAAATGAACTTTCAACATTATGAGATGATCAAGTAGGCAGCTTTTTATGACCATTGGAAGCACTGGATTATCAGTGTCTTGTACCATTGACACTAGAGTAAGGGAACATGTCTAGCATGTCACTTTCCATACTGTTTCTCCAGAGCTCTAATTTTCTCATGAATGCCTTCACTTTGTCATTCCAAGAAAGTACAGTTGCCTCATTCCCTTGAAGTGAAGTGTTGAGGATATTTAGTTTCTCAAATATATCTGTGAGGTAGGCCATTTTCAATAAAAAAAATCCTTGTTGCTGAAACTGTATGCCAATGAGTGATTTTCCTCATTTAAAAAACAGAACACCTCATGCCTCAGCTTAAACATTCTCTTTAATACCTTGCCTCTTGAAAGCCATCGAGCATCACTAAAAAACAACAGAGCAGTTTGTTTGGCACCCATTTCCTCACACAGCATTTTAAAAAGTCTAGACTTCAGAGGATGCAGCTGCTGCTGAACTATCAACTATATCAGTGTGTTATACACCATCGTCAGAATCCTATAGTAACTACTTATCAACGCTGTCTCTGGCATACGCGTTTTATAATTGCCGGTAAAGAGAATAATTATTAGTTATTTTGAAATTCATAATAATTNAGTATATACCTTCATGAAATATTCACTATATCATTTAATTTAATTATTATCACTATAAAAATTATCTTCTTTATTTCAGTTTCCCTGTGGTCAACTCAACATGCCTTGAGTCATACAGTTTTTTTTTACACAGAACTGAAAATTCAATATTTGAGTTGCATAAAGGGATTCTAGTACATGTTGTAGGATATCAGGTCCTTTCAGTGGTGGTTTTGAAGAGTTCTACCTTCTGGGATATAAAGCTATGTAATCCATTGAAAGTCAACCGACATTTCAAAGGAACATGTCACCTCCATCTTTAGGGTTGATAATAAGCTCTGATTGCCACCTGCTTTATGCTGATTTAATGCTAGCTTTATTCTTCAATCCTGACGTTGGAAGTGACATGTTCCTCCAAACCATCAGCTGACTTTCAACACACTGCATGGCACTATATCCCAGGAGACAGAACTCTTAATATACATTGTTTGTAATGTATGATTTTATATTACGCGTAAGACCATTTCACGTAATATTTTTTTTTTGGCTTCTAAAATTATATACCATCATGCAAAATAAACTTGAGCCAATTTCTTTTGTATTACTAGGTTTGTAATCGTGAGGATGACATTGTAAATATCAGAACCCATTGAGATAAATATGAATTCAAACAATTTCATAATTCATATTGTAATTGACCACACTGTGATAACAAACAACTCTATGGATTAAAATGGTGCACAACTAAACACCAAAATAAGGTATACAGTGGCCGTCTTGTAGTGCACTCAATTTCACCTGTCACTTCACAACATGTTTCGGCAACATAGTGCCATCATCAGGTGTCCCAATTACGTCAATCTATTGCATTGACTGCCCTCATATATTTTCACAACACCATTTAAAAAGTCCGTATTTGTCAATTATGATAAATTTACACTCGCTAAAACTTGTTAAGATAATTCATCTTATTTGTCTTAATTAAAACTTGCATGTGGTTTGTTCACTACGGGGTCGTTTTTCTTATTTTCTGTGTAAACCGCGTCTTGTGATGTGTGTTCCCTTCTTAGCTGCGAGTGTTGTAATCATAATTGACAAATATGGACTTTTTAAATGGTGTTGTGAAAATATATGAGGGCAAGCAATGCAACAGATTGACGTAATTGGGACACCTGATGATGGCACTATGTTGCCGAAACATGTTGTGAAGTGACAGGTGAAATTGAGTGCACTACAAGACGGCCACTGTATACATATAATGGATGAAAATCAGTGCAACTGGACGCTAAAATATAACACCAAAATAAGGTATGCTAGTTGCTTCTTTCGTGAAGAAGAAAACAATTTATCAGTCTGCATGTTAACACAATGTGGGTGAACTCTCAACTAACTGTATACACATATTTATTTATAAATGCTGAAAAGTATAGGCATGAAAGGGTCATTTGAGATTTTGCAGTTTCAGCACATGGACTTTGCTTAATTGCAGCAGTAAAAAATATATTCTTATCATTGTGGCGCACCTGTGCATGCTGGTAGCTGCTGCTGCAGTGGCTAGGCTACAGTGGGGGTTAGTAAGGGCGATTGGCATCCTTGGGCCTCTTCAGCTGCACTTTGAGACGCTTCATGCCGATCTGGAAACCATTCATGGCCTGAATTGCAGCCTGGGCGCTTGCTGGGTTGTCAAATGATACAAATCCTGCAAACAAAATAACAGAAATAAATGTCATCAGAGTATACTAACTATAACTGCCAATTTCTTGTATATAGATTAATAACATATTAATTTTATTTATATACAAACCTGGTAACATAAATAAGCTTAAAAGTGGGAAAAGGTAGAAGAGGAATATGAATTTTATTTGTCTTTTTCTTTATTAAAATAAAGAGCTGTCTTTTTCAAGCCATAAGTTCAAACAGAATATTAATGGACAACAAGGTCCCTATGTTGAAGAGGAAGTGGAAACTACTGTATATATAATGTTGTTCTTTACCAAAGCATTTGCTCTGGTTGGTGGCGCGGTCAATGAACACCTTGGAACTGATAACATTGCCGAATGGTAAGAACATCTGCATCAGTTCAGCATCGCCAAACTCCTGAGGTAAATGGTAGATAAACAGATTGCAGCCTTCTGGTCCTGAGATGGAGCAGCCTGTGCCAGACAAACAGACAGACAAGCAAAGTTCAGTGCAGCACACACTTCACTTCTTACATGGATTTGGGCACTGCTGATCTACAAACAACCACGTATCAAATTCTGTCCTTGCACATACATTTTCATTTCAGGCTAAATTACAATTTTAAACATTTACAACTCCCATTCAACAATTTTATTTTATTTCACATTTCTTAGTCTTTCAATCAAAAATACATATTAAATTATTTTACTGTTCAAAATACAATATACAGGTGAAAAATAAACATAGAACAACTGTTTAATTACATTATTTTATAACTATAATTGTTAAAATGGTTATATGTGGGTTCAGCTTGTGTGCTATGCATGTTACTAACAAACTTCAATTTGTCTTATGCTGGGGCTGGCATTCATTAAGTTATAATGGAAATTTACAATTATTATTACATTCAACAATTTTTTGCAATACTCAATCTTGCTGTTCAATACCAAGGATAGTTTAAAAAGTAAAGTAGTTTCAAGAATGTTCTAGGAACAACAGTCAAGTAAACTCATTCTTTTATATAGACATTATACAATCCTAAATACATTCAGTATGATAATTAATGTCAAATGTTTAGTTTCGGTTTCTTCCTAAGATTTTGGTGAGTTCCGAAATCTGTTTCACGTTCCAGTAAAACTAAACAAATACAGTGTCCACAGTTTAAAACTAGTATCACGTTTCTAATTAATTTCTATGAATGATGTATTCCTTAGCCAAGATGCCTAGATACCGGATACAGAAATTTGGGATGCCCAGTGTCTATGTAAAAATAAAAATCATACAGATTAAGAAGCAGACTTTGGAAAAGAATGAACTATTTATCTTTTACTAGTAAGAATAACTGCCAACAAATATCCAAGCCTTTTCTTCATATATGACTGCTGCATCATGCTTTCACAATGAAATTCAAGATAACATGAAAGATCACAAGAGTANTGTTGTCGTTTGCAGATTTACCTACACTTTTTCTTCAACCCTGAAGATGGGGGCGATACGTTCCTCCGAAACGTCGGTTAACACCACATATACACGGCGCCAAATCCCAGAAGACTGCTTTCTTCAGTATGGATATGGTTTTTGATCGTAATTTCAGAGGTTGTTCAAAAATAGTGCTTTCAGAGCAGAATATTTAGCCCTTTGCAACGCAAAGATAGATATCAAACTTTGTTAAGAATACCTCTAAACTAATTCTGTTTGCAGATGATACCAGTATAACAGTTACCAACTCTAACCCGACAGATTTTATAAGTGATATAATGACCATATCTGAATACTTAAATAAATGGTTCTCAACCAACAGTCTCTTATTAAATTTTGACAAAACCAATCTCATATAATAATAAACTAAAAATGGGCCCCAAATTAACCTGGATGTAAGCTATGCTAATAAAACAATTTTTAAAGCACATGACACAGAATTTAATTGGTCTAGTGGTAGGAGTTCTTGCCTACAGATCCAGAGATCCTGGGTTCGATTCCCGGCGCTACCAGATTTTCTGAGACATAGTGGGCCTGGAACGGGGTCCCATTCAGCCTAGTGAGGATAACTGATGACCTATTTCAAGAACATAGCAGCTCCGGTCTAGAAAACCGAGATTAACTGCCGTGGTAATCCATTGCACTGACCATGTGACACCCTCTAACCTCAAAAGTTAGCACTAACTTCACAGACAGCTCGATATAGTTCACTTGTGGACTACAGGCCACAGAGTTCATGACGCAGAATTCCTGGATAGCTTTGACATCAAAGCTAATAAGAGTCAAGGCTTAGTCCCTCAGATGGGTCAAGAGGTTTTATCTCTGCCATAGCATCCAGACTGACTCTGGGCTCATCCAGTCTCACATTCAATGGGCACTGAAAGCTCTTTCCTTGAAGGTAAAGTGGCTGGAGCATGGAGCTGACCACTCACTTCTGTTGCTGCTGAGATTAAGAATGTACAAAGCTATACCTCAACCTCCTCACATGTTTCATGGCGTCATGCTTACTTAAGCACAAGAAAAATTTACCTTTTACTTAACATATTGTTATCAGTGTACAGATCAGCAGTGCTCACAATCCATTTACAGTCACACTAAAATGTAGACTGAAATAAGAAATGAGAAATATAAAATATTAAATACAACCAACCTTAATAGCGCAACAATGACTTTATTGTAGCGATGTTATTCCATGTCCCAGCCACTTATGTTAAATAAGAAGCATGTGGCAATTTATGTACAGTGTAAAGTTGCACGATACACACCATCATTGATCATTAGCCAAATAAAAGAAAATCTAGTTAATAATTAGAAAAGAACACACAAACAAACAATAGGTAGGGCATTACACTGGGAACATAACAAAACATCGACAATAGGAACAACGGCGGAATATTGAAAAATGTGCACAGCACCATTTTTTGCGCCAAAATTAAAAAATTGAACATAACAAATTAAAACTTGAATATAAAGTAATGCTTTCGACATTCACAAAGAATGCAAGTTAAAAAATAAATTAATACACAAACACTGTATGTTAATTTAAAAATAATGCAATGCATTAATGCACTAAAATGTTTCTTATGCCTTACACATAAAATACATTCACACACTCATTCATACATATGCATACACACACATTCACACAGCTCTATCATCCTGCATTTGCACTATCAAATATATATATTTCCTTTTGCAACAGAAAAGGCTTTGTACAAAAGTTTTATTTCATTATCCACGTTTCCTTGTCACATAAACATTTTTCATTTGTAATGTATAATTCTTTGTATTCTTTAAAACAATGAGAAAGGCTGCAGGATTCAACATTTAAATTGCAATTACACTCAGAGTAAATTCAAATAAATGCAACACTCAGAATAACAATGATAGGTATAAAACTTTTGTACAGTATTTCAAGCTGTGGGGTTTTTAAATAAATGTCTTAAATGATTGTTTTTTTAACAGCTTTTTCTTATATTTCCTTTTCTGCAATACAGTCTTATATCCAGAGTTTAGCAGAGGTGCAAAAAGTTTAAGCAGAAATTCTATATGGATGTTGTAAAAGAGATCTATGCGGGATTAACTGTCTTATGTTTATTAATTTATTCCACAGAAGTGAACTCTTATATTAATGAACAAATATTAAAAAATGTAATTGCTGTTTCCAAGCAAAAGATATAATTTTATATATGCCTAAGTAAGTAAAGTTGGTTGTCTATTTACAGTGTAATTGGTATACAGGGATTTAAGAAACCCTGTGATTATTTACTATGATACATAGAGTTTAACTTCGGTCTGGGATATCTAGATTTTGAAATGATCCTTATAGATGTATAGGCTATTTACATTGTTTTTCCAATTTGGTTTGATGCAAATACAGGGTAACACATTAAGCAATATAATTTTGAAAGCTTCACGATCCTTTTTACTTCCTTTCCTTATAAGCCTACCAGAATCATGTCTCCAATCAGATGTTACTGCATTCGACTCAATTTATCTTCTCCTATTCCTGAAGAGCAAAGTTAAGATAAAAGTATCCCCGATAAACCTCTATATTCAGACTTTTGTTAAACTCTATACTGTTAGAAATGAACAGGTCAGATAATTAAATAAAAACATACTCTGCTATTAACATACAGTTACTGAAATCTAACTTTGTTTTATCACTAAGCTGAGGTTTAAGATAGAAAATACAATATACAATATGCACAAAAGAAAGCTTTGTATGGCTACTGGCGATCAATGAGAATTCACACATCTTCGAAACAATTCATTTTACAGGAACAATGGGTCTGGAAGGGACAAGAGTTATATATGGAGAACTTCCACTTTTTGCACCACTGATTATTAAAGTTTTAAAGATATAATTCATGGTATAAATTTCGCAGACTGATTTACTTTTTTCTTTTGTTTCTTATTTTTTCTTACCTTCCCTTTGCGTAGGGGGGACGGTGGACATCGGTTGGGGAATGGCCTGCGGGAACTGGCCGTAAACCGCAGCAGCGGGGTACGCTGCCGGAAGAGAAGGGAGAACACACCAAAATAATAATCGTTGTCATGTTGTCCTCCTTTTCTTTGCCAATTGGATGTTAGGAGGGCACAGTAGAGGTCAGGAGGTTCGGATGAACAGATTCACAGTTTTAAAAGGAATGTGATATACATGGTGATGATGTTCAATTCACTTTGTGTAACACAGTTTTTAATTAAAATAATATTCCTTGGTTTTGAAAGAGAAGAAATATTTCTGAATTTACAATGATGAATATTGGTACTCTTTTTCATGTAATCTGTTTAAATGTTTTTATTTTTATTACACTTTGAGGTATGAGTATCAAATCCCTCCAAAGGGATCAAACAATGAACATTTTTCACTGGCTGTGTAAGCTGTTTGCAGGTACAATGATATCAGACAATGCCTACTGTAACACATAGCTTAGCAATGACACCCAAATGCTGATAAGAAGCATTTGATTATGTTAGAACACCTGGTCATCCTACAGGATGAACTTGGGACTGATATTATAAAACTTTCCACATACAATTTATGACAAACTGGTATCTTGAGTACAAAATATTATAGATAATATTAAAGTGCAAAGATATAATTTTCGACCTCTGTTAGTTGATTCCATTTCATGAGTTTTTATTTTAATAGTAACAAGCACTCTTCAAGCAGCTAGCAAAATGCTCACATTGTTGACATTTTGAATAAACATTTCACATGGATATCATGAAAACTTAATACATTATGCTTTCCAGGCCGAATTCGATACAGAATGTCAGAAAATGTTATAATGTGTACATTGCTACAATGAAACTGTTAATGAATAAAAGTATTTTTGGAGAAATAGATTCTTTCTTCTCAGGTTTCTGCAACTAATATACTTAGATCAGTGAACTCAAAGTAAGGAAAATAAATTCAATCCTAACATTCCATTTCATCTGTAAGATTATTTTTTGTGGGGGGTTCAACCTGAAGGAATAAAGGAGTTTTATTGCATTTCCAATTAAAATCTGAAGTATCTTCATGGAAATAATATACGAGACACAGTAATTTTGGTACAGCATGATGGCAATTAAATTATTATACTACAGTTTTAGTTCTAAACTGTATTTATATGATGGTTCATGTCAGTCTTCACTTTTGATATCTCAGATTTACAAATGAGGCCTGAGCCTTTAAAACCCTGGTCCCAATTTTAGCCTATTTTCCTTATTTTGTAAGGTAAAAGGCATGTGATATCATCATGTCCAAGTGTCTATCTGGCTTAGTAACTTAAAAATCAATTAACATATTCATTATGCCTACCATGAGCTTCTGTAATTACAGGACACCCAATTTTTGCAATTTGTAGTTTCCTACTATTAATAATTTTAGTATGGTGACAGTGAGAACTTGTGTGATGGGAGTGTCAATGGTGCCACTACTATCACAGGAGCACATGATTTTGATATTCTGTGTAGCGTTAAATCTTTAGAAAATATGCTGCTGTTGCTAAATTGTACTTTTGCAGAAAATAAAAGAAGAACATGGTGGTTATGCAAAATCTGTATTTGAATTTCTGTTTTGTGGTAGTAACTAATGAACTGTGCAAGTGAAATTTTGTATGAAGATTATAAACACAAACACAAACACAGATTCCTTAAGAGGGAATTTGTATATGCCAACAGGATAAAGATTTTGATGTTGAACCTGGCAATTATTGTAATTAGAATTTTTATGAGTGAAAATTATGCATAGAAACACACCAGTAAGATGTATATGTATTAATTTGCTGTTCTTATGAGCCTCATATGCAGATTGTAATATTTTAAGGAAAGTAGACATCATCAAGTTGTTCCCATAACTAATCACTGTTAACATACAAGCACTTCATTGTTTTTCAAGGACTTCATAAATCTCTGACCAATGCTTCCTTTGCCCCACCTTTGAATTGTAACATATTTCCAATCATTCTTCATTAAAAATTACATTGTCCTTATAAGAGTTCTGATTAGGATTGAAGGTTGACACCGTGGATTTCTAACTTAAGATGCTTCTTATGTTATTTCTGTTTAAGAAGGCATGTTACATTTCTCTGAATAATTGCTTCTTTTGTTTTAAAGAAAGTTAACAGACAAATTTCACGATGCGTTCATGTTCTCACAGTCATGGAATTTAATAGGGATAATTGTTTCAAAACACAATTAAATAGAAGAAGCAAAGCAAAGGAAAAATATTAACAATTTGAAGCAATATACATATGTGCAGATTTAAGAACATAACCATGCAGAGAGAAGCAAGCATTAAAGGGTGTACACCCAACTTTTCAGTACAAGATACAATGATCTAATTTATCTGTGTATGTATATTGACATTTAAATATCTCTTATTATTAGACAACATAATTAAGGAAAACTGTCTTTTACGAAAATGTATCTACACACCATGGCTGTCAGTTTTCTTTTAGTATGCTTTGCAATGTACATACACAATAAAACTAAGCTTCAAAGAAAAACATTTCTAAATACTTCTAGAATTTTCTGCCTGGTATTCATTTGTTATTGTGTCAGAGCTCAAAATATTCCCAACAAATAATATGCATGTATATCTAGGAGCCTTAGGCAAGAATTTAACCCAGAAGTAGATCAATATAGTGAAGAATGTATAGGAAAATGAAACCAGGCAGGCTCTGAGGAGGGAGATCTTCTATCATACATATACAAGACCACACCTAACAGACAGACAAACAAACAACAAACATACACATAGACAGACCTAGCAAGGGCACTTCTCACATGAAATACATTGTGACGTTTCAGGAAAACAATGCAGTATGTTAATCACTTACAATTATCAATTATCAACACATCAATGCATTCTACTACAAAGCCACAATTTGGAATAATCCACGCTCTTGTAAGATGTTTTAATTCATTTTATGAAAAAGAATTTGAATTTCCAATAATCATGTGATTTTAAAACAATAACAAAACGAATTTGTTCTGAACTAATATTTTACTTTGAGAGTGCTTACATTTACATTTGGAGAAACACATAAGCGTTTCCATCACAGTTCCATACCTTCAAATGGAACACATAAATTTGCACTGAATTGTGAATATAGTTTTAAAATGTGTGTAAAACAAACATTCTGTTTTGAACTCTGTAACTGTCTTATCCATTTATATATTTTAACAGTAATGTTCTGTATATCAGAAAAAAACTGTTGATATGTGTTTAGGTATACGTATTCTACAAATAAGGATCTGTATTACTGCAAATACTGCAAAGAACTGCTGATTGCAGGCAACTGCGCAATGAGTAAAACAGCGACAGTAATGGTAATGTATATTCTGTAGGAATATAAATATACTTATTTTATATTCATTAGCATTCAAAAGAACTCATGAAGTATTTCAAAATATTAATTCAGAATATAACATATAAAAGTCTTGTGTATGACGAATGTTACAAATTATAAAATTATATTGAAGGCTGTCTATTTTCTAGTTAAATTTAAAACTGTACAATATTTTGGAAGCCAGGTCTACTTGCATCATCGGTATAATTGAGGAAATGATCCTATTCTTCAGTCAGGCCACTTAGGCAGAGCTAGTCTGGATTACTGGGCTCAATCACAGACATTTAAATGACCATGAATATTTTCATTATTTTTCTAAGTTTGGTCTCTCTTGGAAGGAAGCAACTTTTACTTTTCAGCAGGTAACCCTTCTAACTGTAGAATCTACCAGACAAAATATTCTGTAAGACAATTTCTTACTTAGTCACATGTTGCTTTATATAAGACATCTGGCATTGTGTCTTCAACCCAATGAATATGACAACATAACATGCAGATCTACCTTATTCACTCTAAAAGTAGGAGCCACAAATTTATTAATAATTCATTTCCTGTAGCTGTAGCTGCCTGATTGGATGCTTCTTCCAGTACATTGGTGGATGTGGAGAAATACCGTTTAAGAAACATACAAAGTATGTATGTCTCTTAATAGTATTTCTAAAATAGAGAATTTTCTTGAAGCTTTTCCTGCAATCTGTTTGTGTTGGAAAAATGGATTTCTAAGCTTCATATTTTATGAACTTTTGATGTATGACTATAAATATCACCCACAAAATGTGATAAATATACCTTTGTACATACTGATTTTGAATAAAAAAATATGATTTAATTTCGATAATTAAAGGAAACTAAATTAAATACATTCTGTATACAGTTTTGAATGGCAATTGTAAAGATGAAGAATTAATTATGTTTATGATTCTGAATATACAGTAGTCTGGGATATTAATGCTTGATTATGCTGACATAATTATGTAGGAGAGATACATGTACTGATAATGGCCTATTTCATAATGCACTGTGACTTTTAATACTTAACTTCCATTTGTTCCTGATACACACTCTAATGAAAGAATGGATATATTCAATTTGCTAAACAACATGATGTTATTATCTCTTTTAACAATGTGTTTTAAACTAGATGGGAACAAATTATAGATTTCTGTGTTACAGAGAGTGACAGTTATAGCAAGGCATTTTTTTTTATTTATTTACTTCATATCCATGGATCATTATACATGGTATAGGACAATATATGTAGGATATAGGATATAGGGGCAGACTTCTGTGTATTAACATTTAAAGTACATGGAGCATTTAGAAAGGAGGACTGTGTAACCTAGGTATAGTTTTTAATCTAAAATATCAACACATATACTGCAAAATTTGTCAATGCAAATACCATGTATGTTGAAGGTCTTGCACAAATGCATAAAAAGAAAATTATTTTCTTGGAGACCAATTTGCAAAATCTTTTATTTTTCTCAGTATCTGATGCTTGTACTGTGAGACTGTACAAAGAGGACAAAGTTTTATATGTTGAAATTAAAATATTGACATATGTATGGCTGTATGATCAGAGAACAGTTCTGCTTTCAAAACAGAGTTCCTACTGACAGAAAAATGAAGGTTTAAGTTTACTCTGAATTAATTTCCAGAAATATATTCATCAAACAGCACAAAATTAAAATAAAAATGTAAATTAGGGCCAAGGTCTTTTCTGTTACAAAGTCCATTTATAACTGTTGCTACTTATAAATGAAGGTGCATATAAATTTGTACCATGTCAAAAGAGAATCTGTGACATCATAAACCAGTGGCCAGTTTAGAGCTCCTGCCATAATTCATATTCTTTGCATGTGACAAGAGTTATGATTTAAAAGTCTTTGGAAATGGTGATATACTGATTATGAATAGAACCATGAATAATTCTGAAATATGAAATATTTTTTATGTGAATATATGACCTCTGGATCTGATTGAATTGAGTGATAAATATAATTACTTTAACCTTTGAATACTGTCATGTATTTCTTGTGATATAAGCAGTACCGCTGTTAGCAATGAATCAAAGTAAAATGACTTTAACCTTCAGTGAATAAGTGTTTTCACTGTCCAAATGCAACGTTTTTATTCTTGCCTTTTATCCTTTGGACACTCTTCTACAACATGTTTCAGCATCAAACGGCCATCCTCAGGTGTGGTACTAAAATAGTTGCACTGTCATTTCGATTTTAGTCGCGTGTGGAATGCACTGTTGCTTTCGATATAAATCCTCTAACATACATAAAATTCTGGTACCAATTGACAGCTACGTGCATTGCCATTTGTTTTTTTTTTCGGTAGTGAATTCGTGTATCGATGTCATGCTGCTGGCAGTGAACACATACCAGCATTTTATGGATTTTAGAGGATTTCTGTTGAAAGTAACGTGCTTCACACGTGACTAAATTGAAGTGACGCTGCAACAATTTTAGTAAAAGTAATTACACCTAAGGATGGCCCTGTAAGGCTGAAACATAAGGCCGCACCATAGCTCAAGCGGTTAGTCGCTGGCTTCCCACCGTGGCTGCCCGGGTTCGATCCCGGGTCTGGTCAAGTGGGATTTGTGGTGGACAAAGTGGCGCTGGGGCAGGTTTTCTCTGAGTAATTCGGTTTCCCCTGCCAATCTTCATTCCGCCAATTGCTCCACAATCACCCTCACCTATCATCTGGTACTGGTACAATAGGCCAGAAGTGGCCACAGTATATGGGACTTAGTGCCACCCCACTAGCAATAAAAAAAAAAGGCCGAAACATGATGCCAAAGAGTGTGTGTAGGATAGAAGGCAAGAATAAAAATATAGCGTTTGGATGATAAAAACTCTAATCCATTGAAGATTAATAGTAATGCAATAGGATGTTGAAGTATGATATTACAATGACATTCATGTGAGACACATCCCATATCCACAAACGTTCAACCAAACACGTTAACAAGTCCAATATTTATGTGTGCACAGCTTATATTTATAAAAACTAGGGTCTGCTGATAGAAGTATGAATGATTTGTCACAAACTATCCAATGACAAACTAGGTTACATCATGGCCTTAGTTATACAAAGTAATATAATCCCTGTGTTGTCATTAGAGTCCTAACACTTTTATTTATCTATATGAACTATCTCTGTTTCTTTCTACAAACACATCACAAGACCTGGGTAAGTTTAGGTTTGTTGCCATTGCCAGTGACCCTCAGAACTGTTTGAACAATTCTGCATTTTTCAGTGGTCTCTTTCTTTGTCATATAGCTCTACAGTGAAGTGAAATTTGAGAATAGTTTAAAGAAAGATATGAGCAAAGAACCTTTAACTAAAAGTTTATTTTAGACCAATAAAATAATCACACGAACACCAGAGGTCTGTGTTTTGAAAATGGTAATATCAATGAAATAACTTTTCATCAAGAAAGTGATATTTTAAATGGAATACATGTATAGCCTATAAATGATAAATCATCATAGGTAAGGTAAAGTAAACCTGTCCCTGTGCTTAGCCAGTTAAGCACTACATTATGAAGATGTATGGGGGAGTGGTCAGATTCATGTCCTGGCCACTTTACACCTAGGGAAAGAGCCCTTGGTACCCACTGGATAGGAGGCTGGGTGGACTCCAGAGCCAGTCTGGACGACATGGAGAAAATTCTTGACCCTATGGGGATTCAAACTCTGACCTCTCGGCCCTTGAGCCCATAGCCAGTCACTATACTGACTGCATTATCCCAGCTTAGATGGGTCATCATAACATGACATTTCTTCATCAAGATAGTGAAAAAGCAGTATGATCTAGTAACTTCCCTTCATTTGATTTAACGAAAAATACTTGCCTTTAGTTTATGATATTTGAACGAACTCAGCGATTGCCCCCCCCCCAAGAATTTTGTATGTATTTTATGGAATATATATATTATAACAAAGATTTAAACTTGTTGGAACATTTGCACATCTCAGAAATGTGATGAAGTAATTATTTATCTACTTATAGTTTTATGTCTAGTAACTATTTTAACTTTCAGAATTCCTCATTAAACTGCAGTGTCTTACTTGTATTAGTTAATGTGTTATATCTGGAGATATTTTAACTATAAAGTCAAAACTGAGACTCTCTATTTGTGTTTCACTTTTCTCTGATATGCAGTTATGGTGATATAAAGGTTGGAAACTTTGGCTACTTAACTGCACAATTAATGTACTTATACACATATGAAAATGTGGCCCACAACACTTACACTGGCCATATGTTGTGGTTGATTGAGTAACATTTCGGGATATCCAGGATTCAAATTTTGGCCCAAAGGAAATCAAATTATGCCACAATAACTTCATTTCATATCCTTTACAAATCACTGATCACTAATCATCCTAGCATTTGATGCTACAGTCTCAGTTACTGGTAGCATCATTAAACCATAAGCAAGCAACAACAAATTACATTTAGACTGAATATTGTAATTGTATTATTTCTTAAGGCTAAGATTAGACTTTCTATTGAAAAACTGCTTTACATGAATATTTTACAAGGACTGGAAAACTGGTTAATGAAGTTGTTTTTAGTGTATGTAAAATTGTCTAAAGAAGTTAGTTATCTTGTGTACATGTAAAATTGGCTAAACAATTTATCTTGACTGCGTGAAAAATTGGCTAATGAAGTTACCTTTAGTGCATGTAAAATGCGCCAAAGAAATAATCTTTAGTATACGTAAAACTGGCTAGGGATGTTAGCTTCAGTACATCTAAAACTGGTAAGGAAGTTATTTTGAGTACTTATAAAACTGGTCAATGAAGTTATCAGTATACACATAAAATATGACATAGTGTTCATGGCCCACATAAAGATAATGAACTAGCTTCAAGTTATACACTGACACTGCCATAAATGCACTTGTTTATGACTTCTTTAACTGATGAGTAAAGAATACAGTTCCAAAATAAATAAATAAAACATGTGATACAAAATATTAAACAGAGTACCATACTATAACACAATAATTCTTTAAATACCACTTTAATAATACTTTAATACTTTAACATTCCTACTGTGTTCCTTCTGCTGTACTACAGCATAACCTGTTTTGGATAACAGTGTTGGTCACTGTGTCAATGTACCCTCTTACTCGCCAATTTTACACCTTAATGGTATGTAATTATGTGAGTATGAAATGATAAATTTATTTGAAACTTAATACAGTTGATTATTTTTAAAATTTCCAAATATATGAATCAGTTTGGAATAATTATAAGAAGATTTTTTAGTAATATTGGTAATTAAGCCAACAAAGAGTTTTGCATATTCAATGAAAGACAATACACTGCACAAGGTGCTGTATGAAATAATACCAGCTACAGAAGCAGTTTGTTCTTTTTTCCAGACCCATATGGATGCGACAATTTCCACAATGTTTCTATTTTCACCTCTCTCTCTCTCTGTGTGTGTATTCAAAGATATTAAATTCAATTAAAAATGTATCCTGTGTCTGCTCAAGAAATTTGTGGATTAAATGTCAATGTATGCTCATACAGGTGCTATGCCAATGAAATATTTATTTTATTAAATTAATTATGATATGATTTCATTAATTATACATTATATAACACCATTTTAATTTTCAACATAATTTCTGTGTTTATGCTGTCATGTATGTAATAATGAACCAGTCAACTGTTTGGTTAAACGTCTTGGACAATTTTGTGTTGTGGCAATAAAAGTGGGGAAAAGAGACATCTGAAGGAAATAAGAGACAGAAAACAGAGACAGAGCTTCACTCACCAACACCGGGATATGGTTGCATCCCAGGATAGGCCGCAGCATGTTGTAATGCGGCCTCTCCATTTGGCAGACCCTGTGCTGGAATGGACAAGTGGAGCGCATCTACATAAAAGTTATCTCAGTCCTTAGCCACAATTGATGTGCACAAATAATAAACAGATAGGATCTGTAGGCAGATGTCACTCTGTTTTCCTAGCCATGGCTTTTGACCAAAAGAAATTTAATTGTCATGGTTTTGCATATACAAGCCATATTTTACTTTTCAAACATCATATATATTATTCTGATGTATTCTTCAATGCAGATGATAGCCATATTAGAACACTGTTATAAGAAAAGCAGAAGTTATGTGTTGTAATTGGTAGCGTTGGAAAAGAACATTAGCACTTCTTTCATGAATAACAAGGCCACAACCCCAGCACTGTAAACAGGAGACTACCATATAAAATCATGTTTCACTTAAGACTCCACTGTTTGCAAATTCTGTTGTTCTTCAGGGAGCTGAAGTCATGCCTATGATTCCTCAGTAATATAAATGATTTAAATCTGGTTGTAACTGAAAAGACCAATGTACATAGGGAATTCAATTATATATACAGGGTGGGCCAGACTCAATTAGGCAGTTTTTATTATGTGTTATTTTTATTGATAAATGTTAACAATTGCAATGGTTACAAAAATGGAATCGCACACATAAGTCATCGATTTTCAAGATGCTGGTCAACCTGGGCACCACCTAAGTCAACACAGGCTTGCAGACGCAAAGCAACATTTTCACATGCCTTTCTACACATATTCACCGGAACTTTATTGAACTCCTGAACAGTCACCTCACGCAGATGTTTCACACTGTCAATGGAATTAGCGTACACCTTGTCTTTGAGGTAACCCCAAAGGAAAAAGTCTGGTGGGGTGATGTCAGGTGATTGGGCTGGCCACTCCACAGGCCCTCGACGGCCAATCCAGCATTGAGGAAAAACTTGATACAAGAACCGAACAATATTGGTGAAGTGTGGTGGGGCCCCATCTTGCTGCCACCACAGTTCATCAAAGTTCTCTCTCCTCTGAAGTTCTGAGATGACACTTTCCTTCAGCAACTTTAGGTAGGTTTCCCCCATGATGCAACCTTCAAGGAAGAAAGGGCCAATCAGTCCTTCGTACGTCACGCCGCCCCACACCATCACTCCCGGGGACTGGAAATCATATTCAATGGTGGCACTGGGGTTCTCTGGCCGCCAAAACACACAGTTGTGTCTGTTGACTGATCCTGATGTGTGAAATTTAGCCTCATCAGTCCAGACAATATTCTGGATAAGGTCAGGGTTCTCCTGAAACTTGGTCAGCATCAACTCGGCAAACTCAAGTCGCCTGTCGAAGTCGTCCTCGTCAAGAACATGAATAAGCAGTGGATGGTATGGCGTCAGCTTCATGTCACTCAAAACTCTCTGCAAACTTGTCCTCCAAATGTCCAGTAGGGCCAACAAACGGTGGGTAGACTTCAATTTCTGAGGAGATGATGCCAGTTCTGCAGCAGCATGTGCTTGTGTCAGCAGTTCGGACAGTTCTCAGCTGACCAGGATGCTTGGGATTCAAAGCACTGGCAGTTTCATCAAACTGCTTGTTTATTCGGACAATTGTGTCCCTGTGGACTGCTGGCGGTCCAAACTCTTCCAACATCCTGTGCTGGACTTCTGATACATTGTTAGCAACTGAGAAAAGGCGCACACATTTTACATNTTTTATTTAACATGGGCTGGCAGTATCACTTATTGTTTTACAATGTACTGGACAAGTACTATTATTCACTTTTACTTTTTGTGTTCTCTTTATAGTGCAGGAACACAATGCTGAACAAGAACACACCGGCCATCATGCTGAATGCACTCACATAATATGGATATGCACTTGGAATGAAACGCTCATATTCTGTATGTTGTAGTGGTCGTACAGAAACCTGAAACAGGTAAAAAAAAGTAATAATTTATAAAATTTTACATATTTCATCAAAGTTAATATACGAGTAAACTATGATCAGTTTGTGAAGATAACATGAATTTTTTCAAAGTAATCTGTATCATGTAAGATTTTAGGTTTTCACAGCGGTGACTATGAAGAACGCAGTCTTCTGGGATGTGGCACCATGTTATTATAAGGTTAAACCCCTATTTAAGGTTTCTCTTGGGAGCAGTGGATTTGTGGAAAATATTAAATGGAGGTAATTTAACACTGAAAATTGTTCATATTGCATGACTACCAGAGTTGTGAGACAATAATATAGGGTCATGAGTCCAGGGGGATTCAGAACCAAGAATGGCTGTGCTGGCGAGGACCTGCAGCAATACCTGTGTGACTGAGATTATTCATGTTGGATCCCTGAAATTAAACATTAAATGATGAAAAATATAATATTGGGGTTCTTTAAATGGGGGTTGTACTGCATAATTATTTTCATAGCATAAATAAAAATAGTCTTGAGTGATTAAAGAAAGTTAATATTAGCCAAAATGCATTTCATTACACAGACAGTATGTTATACCATTTCTGACCATAAAAGAAGTGGAAATAAATCAGATAAAAAAATATCATAAGCAACAGTTTATATATAGCACTACAGATAAAACTGGGTAGAGTAATTTTGAAAGACTGGGCCATGATTGGTTCAATAAACATTTACATTTACATTTATTTTCACTTCATGGATCCAATCATCTCCCCGTAGGGCTGGATATAAAACATGTCACATATTACAGGTTCATGATGACTACACATCATTCGTCCTATGCCCAATAAAATATATAATCAGGCCTCTCACAGACAGCTCAAGTTGTCAGGGCAACACACGAGTCCTGGAAAAACCACAGTCAAATTCACGCCTTGCCATTCCACACACACTGGCAAGCCATATCATTAAAATAGTTACAATTATAAAATATTAAAATTATAACAAAGACAGACATCATACATACTACTACACAACAAGCAAGTCTCAACAATACATAATTCGCCCTCATAGAGCATTTATTAACTCTTTAACATTTGAGCCCCTTGCATGCTCGACAGATTCATCAATAGTGTAAAATAGGTTACTTTGCAAATAATTTCGTAAAACAAACCTATATTGCTTTTTATCATTTTTTAAAACTGTGATATTTGATGGCAGAATGTTAAATAGCTTGTCGCCTGAATAATACACCCCACTATGATAGGATGATTAATGTGTTGAAGGTATATGAAGGTGGTCATTCCTTCTGGTACCAATCACATATACAGAGTTATTGGTTTGAAACTTATCCAAATTATTAACAACAAATGTCATCAATGATATCAAATATACCCATGGGATTGGTAGTATGTCAAGCTTTTTAAATAGATCTCTACAAGTATTAGTTGGGCCCACTCCCATCATTATTCGTATTATTTTCTTTTGTATAACAAAACCCTTATGACTGTCTGATGTAGTTCCCCAGTATATTATTCCATATTTCACCAACGAATGATAATATGCATAACATACAGCTTTAAGACTATTTATACTTAATATATAGGATAATCTTTGCATTTGAAAACAACCCGTGCTCAACTTGTGAAGCAAAAAATCGATATGTCCCTTACAAGTCAGATAACTGTCCAGCTGCAAACCGAGAAATTTTATCGTTTCTACTTCTTTCGGCTTTTTGTTAAAAAACAACGTATATAGAGGGTAGCTCATAGTTGCTGTTGGGGTGAATATTTATCATTTTTGTTTTATCGAGATTTAACACTAATTGATTATTCTGAAACCATGTAAACTTGTGATTAAAAACAACATTAAATTTTATTTTTAAATTGTAGCAGTCTTTAGCTGTGCAAAGAATACTTGTGTCATCTGCAAACATAATAACTTCTGAAATTTTACGTATTTCAAGGGGGAAATCGTTTATGTATTAAAGAGTAAGGGTCTCAACACCAATCCCTAGGCATATCACATCCGACGATTTCTCAGTTAGAATAATATTTATTATTTATACAATTTAATTGCGCTCTTTGCCTCCTATATTGGAGGTAAGATTTAAACCATTGCAATAGTACACCCTGCACTCCACAGTACTGCAGTTTCATTAATAGAAGATCATGATTAATGCAAAGGCCTTTGTATATATGTGTGTGTGTGTGTATATATAAATAAACATATATATATATATGTATGTTTATTTATTTATTTATATGAATTGTAACATACATTTAATTATATGAAATGTGATGGAATATATTTATGTACTTGTGTACCTACTATATGGTTAAACAAACTGAAGGAAAATCTTGAGTGTTATTTATGTATCTTGTCACACTATGTGCATTAAGCTACAGTACACATTTATAAGCATTATGCATTTCAGTTTAGAGACTGTTTGCACCCACATTTGAGCTGGAACGGTTCATTCAATAAAAACCAACGGTGATGAGCTAGGTAAGAAGAGTTTCAATTCTCATCAGAGGGAAAGGGCTTCTCTTCATGATATTGTCCACAATGTCACTGGGACTCAATCAAAAGCAGACCACTCACCTCAGTCTAGTGCCTAGGTCTGTAATATGGGTAGGTTCACTTCCACTCATCCTATGTGGTTTCAAGGCATGGTGCTTAGACACAGGGGAAAGTTTATATTTACCTTACTGCCTAGATATAACAAAGGTCAGAACATGACATGAATGTGAACTGTTAAGTCTGTACATAAGTTAATGAAATTTTAAATATCTAACACAGAGTAATATATATTTGGAACATATTATAAATACATAACATTTTAAATTGTAGTGTGTGTATAATGAAAAGTATATATAAGAGCTAAGCTGTAGGTGAAACCTTCAATCCAATAAAATATAATATTTATTTGTTATTTCAGCCAATGAACGATGATCTGTTACATTAGGGTTCTGATCTATTTGCTTTAATTATAATCAGAATGTGAGAAATGATTATTTTAAACTGCAGGGTGATTACAGTGATCTGAGTGGTTTCAAAATTGATTTTAAGGAAGCTAAAAGGATCACAAAAATAAAACACAGCTGGGAAGAAAAACTCAGTTTTTAAACAGCAAAGGGAGAAATGGCATCTCCAGTGCTGCACACTAGGAGAGCAAGCATGTAAAATGGTGACCCAGCTCTAGAAATCATCTTGCGAACGTGCATTTTATTCTAAAAAATCTTTGGCTACTCTTCAACAGAATTTTTGGAGGAAGTACCAGAAATAATTTCCAAGCGTGAATTTTATTTGGTGTAGTGGTATAGAGATTTACTGACTGTGCATGCAATGTAGAAAATTCACGCCAGTTTGGTATCAGTGCTGAAACAGTTCATCATATTGAACAGTCTTTTGTGTGCAGTCAAATGAAGCCAACACAATGAGGTAGCCATAAGCTGGATGTACCACAGTGAACTGCATGGAAGATTCAAAGAGCATTTCTTGCTGTCCATCCTTACCATCTTCAGTTGTTACAGTATATAATACAAAATTACAAAGTGCTATGTCATAAATTCTGTTGTGTCATGATGGACTGTCTTGGTGCAGATGAAATGTACATATCAAAAATATGTTTCATTGACATGGCAGCGCTTAACCTTAGTGGGAAGCTGAACAGATATAACGTTCACTGGAAAGCAAAAATTCTTACAATATTGTTCAATACGCAATATGTAAGGGAGGGCTTGAATATGAATGTGTATTGTTCTGGGGTCTCTGACAAAGTATATGGACTTCTCTTCTTTGCAGAGGAAACATTCAACAGAACTGGTCTATTAAAACATGTTGGAGGTTTTACTGTAAGCTCACTTACTAGAAGAGAAGCTGGAAATTGTTTTCCAATAGCATGATGCATATACCCTCAATGAATTCACAATTATCCAGAATATGCTGTTGCCTGATTATTTGTTCAGCCAGACCCCCTCTGGCCATCATTCTGGCCACTGTGTTCACTGGATCTAGCCCCCTTTCACTTTCTCCTATGGGACTATGTCAAAAATGAAGTTTATGTCCTAACTCTGCCAGAAACTCTGGGAAACTTAAAGGACTGAATATAAAATGTTGTGAATATTGATATTAATTTCTTATGCAATATTTGGAGGAAAGAGACTGTTGTCTTGTTGTGTGCAAAGCACACACTAAATTCCGCTGGACCCCATCACTCTATTAAGAAATCATTTTGAGTTTCCCTTTCCAATGCCATGTGTTTCATCTTTTATGCCTTTCAGTTGTTTTTAAATAAATATTTTAAATCTCTCAGCTAATTTGTAATCACTCTGTATTTTAGCAGTTTAATTAGGTGTGGTTATTTTCTTATGATATATCATTTTTATTTATAAACTTTTAATTTCTTGTTACACAAACAAGCAATTTAGCCCATGGAACTGTTGCTACAGAGCTGTCTTTTAAAAACATAGAATAAAAATACTGATTAATTAGATATATTGTAGTAAGAAATAAGACATGTTTTTAAACATGAAGAACGTATGTTATATTTACACAAGAATTAGTAAGAGAGAGTGGTGAACTAAAAACGATTAGGGTAATATACCCCCATCTGACATTGCTGGAAAGGATTAGTGTAACAAGCGCAGTACATACATAGTAAATGGGCTAGGCTTATTGCAAGGGTTCATACAAACACTCAAACTGAAATTCTTACAATTAAACAAAAAGTAAATATTTGTGAAGAGCAGGTAATTCCCTGTGAACACTCAGAATATTAATGTATTTTCTAATCTAATGCTCGCATTTTCCTGCAACAAAAAACACCTGAAATTGTCCTGCAGTTTTTCACCTACAGGTTACTCCACATGTAAACTGTGCAAACAACTTCAGCACAAGTTTAATTCAGTCAAACATAATTATTATGACAATAATGTGTGTTATGCATGTTTTAATAACCTTATCATACAGCTGGCGATGTCGTGAAACAAAGGAAAAGAGAAGGATACTCATTTTAACAAAGTGTAAATACACCATTCCATATCTGACATTTAGCGTTAATTAAGAAGTGTGGTAAGGTAAGTATTGTACATGACGTTAGTGGCAGTTTACTTCATAACACTAGTACTGATGTGAATGATGGCAATGATGATTCCTGTAAAGAATGACTCTTAGCACTGTATTGTTATATTAGTGTTATGTGTTGCTGTTTTTGTTCCTCAAGTAATGGGAAACACATGTTCATAAAACGAAAATATTTGCTTTTCACTCCAATTTTCTTAAACTAAATTGTTCTGAAATAACGAGATTGCTTATTTAGTATGACAATCTTATGAATATACACTTCAGTCATTTGAGGCCTTCCCACAAATCACTGCGATACGCAAGCAAAAGAGGCTGATAAATCTTCTGTCTAGTCAAACAATGGAGATTCAAACCGGTAGAAAAGTAAAAAAAAAAGCTTATAGCCTAACAAATTCTCAATAAACTTGGAACACATTCTAGAAATATTCTCCACTATCCCTGTCACCATCATCGTTGTCATTGTTGTCATTGCTATCGTCACAGTTGTAGTTGTTGTCATCACTGTCAACATCGTCATCATTATCCTCATTACCATTGTCACTGTCGGGAAAATAAATAATGAAATAATGAAACTGCTTATTTATTTTAACAATTTTATGTTAACTGAAGCAAAAACGACTCTGAAATTCTGAAAAGATAATAATATCACACTTTTTATCATCACTGTTGTGCCACACAGTGATCACTTTATGCACTAAAGAATTTCCCAACAATAAAACAGCAGTGGACATATATCACGTTATGCAATATAAAATAAGTCTGTTGTGAGCTACCTAGCAATATGACCAGACAGAGAAAACTGGAGAGCTGAAAGGGGATTATGTATAAATACGAAGGGCGTTCCGTATATAATGCCTCCTATTTTTTTGTGTTAATATGTAACGTTTGAGCTGGATGTTGGTGGTGTTGTAGTAAAGGTTGAACCTTCCCACCAATGTACTGTTAGTTTGGTTGTCATGCGGCAGATAGCGACAGCAGAGCAGTCTACCAAAATGGTGTCTGACATAGAAGTGCGTACGAAACAGAGATGTGTTATTGAATTTCTCACTGTCGAATAAATTGCACCAATTGACATCCACTGACGCTTGCTAAAGGTGTACGGAGATGATACAGCAGATGTCAGCACAGTGAGGCAGTGGGTAGTGCGTTTCAACGGTGGCAAAAGTGAAGTGCACGACAAGCCACACCCTGGGCGTCCCTGCTCTGCTGCCACTCCTCACAATGAACAGCACCATGATCAGCTCATCCATACAGATCGGCAAATAATAACAAGGAAACTGTGTGCATGGCTTAATATCGGCTGTACTGCATTGGAAACGATGTTGGGGAAGCTGTTAGCGCAAAGTTTGTTCCAGGTGGGTCCTGCGGATGCTTACACAGGACCACAAAACTCATCAAATGGAAGTCTGTCAGGATCTGTTGCACCAGTTTGAGGCTGAAGGTGACAAGTTTCTGGACAGCATCGTTACCGGAGATGAGACGTGGTGTCATCACTACGAGCCGGAATCCTAAAGACGGTCCATGGAATGGCGACATCTGGATTCCCCAAGAAAAAAGAATTTCAAGACACAGCCATTGGCAGGGAAAGTGATGTGCACAGTCTTTTGGGATGGGCAGGGTGTGATTTTGTTGGATTTCCTGGAGCCCGGTGAGACTGTCAATTCTGAATGCTACAAGATGACGCTGACTAAGCTGAAAGCCCGCATTTCCAAAGTCAGGCCAGAGAAGCAGACAACCTTTCGCTTGCAACACGATAACGCTAGACCCCATACCAGTCTGGTGACCGCTGTGCACATTGCAAAGTTTAGCTGGACTGTCCTACCACATCCACCTTATAGCCCCGATTTAGCATCTTCAGACTTCCATCTCTTTGGGCCTATGAAAGATGAACTACATGGGCAACATTTTCCAGACAACGATGCTGTCATTGCAGCTGTAAGAAAGTAGCTAGACTCTGCTGGCGCAGACTTTTACGGGCGCGGCATACAGGCTCTTGTTCATTGCTGGCAAAAGTGCATAACAAATGGTGGTGATTAAGTAACTGTAAGTACCTGAAATCTTGCTCTATTTAACTGCATTATTATGCTTTCTGTATTTGTTGTAGTTTTCATTAAAAAGAATAGGAGGCATTATATATGGAACACTCCTCATATTTCTATCTACATTTTTCTTCAGAAATGGTATCATATATAAAGGTGCAGCTAATGTTCCATTAAACATAAAAAAGTGTTATTTATTCTTTTAGTGAACATTTGGTTGGCCTCCATTATTGCTGAGTGCCTCTCACTCATGTCCACCAATCCGACACTGTAACAGAACATATTACACAAAAGAAATCAAGTGATAATCATTGCATTCAGAATGTTGGTATGAACTAATGTACAGGCTCAACTGGTAACAAGCTGGACAGGTGGTGTGGATGGTAGCAATGAAGCATATGACAGACCAGTATTGGAAAAGTCCCTCCGCAAAGTGAACAAGGTGATGATGAGGAGGTGGCTGAGATACTTACGCGCAGGATATGTCTGCGGAATGCCATTAGTGTAGACGGATGGGTCAGAGCCAGCAGGTTGCCCATTTGGGGTCTGTGCTGCCATGTTGAAGTTGGGCATGGTCGGGGAAGGCAGGCTAGGAATGGTGCCATTAACGGGCTGGCCTGAACCCGAACCTAAAATAAGAGCTGATTAGTTGAAATAGAATTACAATGATATCGAATTGAAGCATGGTTCTAAGAATTAAACACAAGTCAGGGCTCAATCTGTTGGAGAGGGGAATAAGATGCCCTTTTTAACCATCCCATTATTATTATTATTATTATTGTTGTTGTTGTTGTTGTTATTGTTGTTGTTATTATTATAATTCTGGAAATGTAGATAACGTTTGATGACTACATCAACAAAACTATGTTTATATGGACCAAGCAATTTAGGTAGGACTAGAAAACAGCACTGTTGAAACTACCATTACTCATTCTCTTTGCCTTACATTGAATAATACTTCATTTGTCTTCAGCTATAACAATAATTCTGTTTCAATTATAATTTTCATAGATAGCTCAGTCAGTTAACTGACTGACACTTGGAAGGACAACTACAATTCAATTTTTTGAAGAGGCCAGCAACTTATATCTTTGCCACTAACTCAAGCAAAATCTTAAGTCACCCAGGCCCCTATGCAGTATGTGGAGAGATTTTTGCTTGGGGGTACAGGGGCTGTAGTTTGAAGTGACCACCACCACAAACAGCTGCAAAGGAGAAGCATACCTGAAGCTTCATTTTCACTATAAATAATGCCCTCATTATGTGGTGTCTAAATATAAGGACATCTTTACATTTACTTTTAATGTAATGCTCCTATCTGAAATGATTATATTAGCTGCAATGTGTGTGGTCATGCATTATGGAGCATCACCTTGAGTTTCAAGTTATTTGCAAAAATGAATTCTTTGTAGACACTAATCACTGGAAACTGCCAATACAAAACTAACGACTTTAATTTACTGAGACCTGTAAAGAACAATATCAGATTATGCAACTATTCCATGAACCAGAGAAGACAAACATATTGGATTTGTATATGAATGTCATAACCCAAACTGAAATATAGTCAGCATTATAGCTGATAAAGTTGCTTCAAGATAAAGCAGATTTTGGAATAAACTTTACTATAACAATACATCTGACACTATTATTTCCAGATTATACAGATTGGGCATTTTAGGCATCCTCCATCCCCCAGTGAATGGAATTACAAATTGAACCCCGAACAAAATATACATATGTCAAGACCAGCAACAGATAATAACATTCAGCAGCTCTCTTACTCTGCATATATATTTAAGTACAAGGGGCTGCAAACATTACATCTCACAAGAAAAATGAATGAAATTCAGAGTGATTCCATCAGTCACAACCTGCCATCAATACAAGTACTAATTAATTAAATCTGAGTAAATTAGGTTTGTTAAGTAATGAGTATGTTTACTTTTGGTTTCCACAATGGCCACTTATAGATATAAAACTCTGTACAGGAGTAAAAATTGTCTTCAAGGAAAAGAGTCTACTACTGCCATTTAATTAATACTTTTATTAAAATAACGGAAGAGCTTTCCCAATCTTCTTATGAAGTGGTATGTCTGGCAATGTTCATAATCATTGCTAGATACGCCACCTCATGAGAATGGGCAGGTTCTTTTATTATTTATTATTAGAGTTCTGAAATATTTTTATTGCTTTTGTAATACTTTTTCTGTCATAATAATATTTGTATTAAATATGATTTTTAACCATTAACTTCAAACAAAAACTGGATTATTAATTTGGAACCAATTTACAAGTGTATGAAATTTTGAAACAACTACCTTCATATACACAGTTTTATTTATTGTGACGTGTTGCACTATGGATGACGCCCCCCCCACCCCACCGCCAGCGGTGACGTGCCGAGCAGAGCCGAAGTGAGCTGAGTCCAAGCACGCTGGTCGCTATGCAAAGCGAGTAAAGAGCGGTTGCTAGGCAAAGCGAGTAAACAGAGGTACCCATTATGTAACACGGGACGCCGCAGTTGCTATGTGGCCGTAAACAACTCCCAACAGCATTGCTAGGCTATCGGCAAACATGGCGACTAGGCAACAAAGAAGAGAGGCATTTCCCGTTGTCCGGCTGAGGGTTTATAAGAGAACTACACTGCCTACGAGTTCATTTAGTCAGCAGTGAGCAGTCGAAATGTAGCCGTCGACAAAGACAGTTGGAGTATAGCAGCAGTCACGGAAAGAAGAACCGGACGCATGTGTAATTGTGTAATTGGGAGTGTGTAATACTGTGCCACTTATATAGCTCTCGTACTGTGAATACTGAGGACAGTGTGAAGAGATTTGTGTGTAGGGTTCTAAAGTGTGCAAACCCGTAACACTGTTGTAATTAATTGTAGCCAAGACTTGTAGGTTGTTAAATAAACCAATTAACAATCCAAACGGCGTCTTCAGTAACGAAACACGTTACATTATGTTCCTGTGCCACTTAGTGAGACCTATTCAGACACTTTTTAGTTATTTCGTTGGTGATTACAGGAAGTGTGTTCCACAACCTTCAGAAGGGAATGTATATAAAAGCTGCCTGTCATACTTGTCACTTTGAATTCAGAAACAGCTGTGGTTCAGGTGAGATCAGAGATTTATCTATGGTTCATGCTACATACACATTTGTTCTTATGAGAGGTAACTTTATATGTTGTTCTTAGAACCATGAAGTGTAAAGTAATCTTACGACTCATATCACTTGCTAGAAACATTTATAGAATAGAACAGTACAAAAGGAAGTATACCTAAATTCCCTTATTGAGAGTGAATCACAGAATATACTGTGTACTGCCATTGTTTTTGATATAACTAATTAGGATTGGAAATCCACAGGAGTGAGGTAATAAAACAAAATTACCCCTAAAAGTTGATTCAAATAAAGAAAATCGTGATTAATCTGTGGGACCTAATGAAGCGTTTCAGACATATAAGGACAACAAGAGTTCTCATAAATTTAAAGAATTTAGAAAAGTGCCATAACATAATGAGAGAGCTAAAATTACATGTAACAGGACAGGACATGTAACATTACCTTCTTGATATTACGTATAAAGGGTGAGCCTTCTCGGCCCTTGCACCGTGACCTACAGTGGTCTATTGAGCTTTTCTTGATATTAAAGGATAATTAAATATAAAAGTTAATCTCTAATAGGCATGAGATGCACTATCACACTGGTGTAGGTGCATGGCCCAGCTGGCTGTGTTGCATTTTCTTAACAGAAATACCATTACCATAAAGTTAGAATTTGGCTGAAAGACTTGCAGTATTGGAGGATTTAAAATCCCCAGTTCTCAGATGATATAGTTTAAGGAGAAGCTACTCAGACCAATTTGTTCTCGAATCTGTACATTTCTTGGAATAGCTCAGATTTTGTGAGCTGTACATGGCTAACACTGGGCACCTGTGGTTCTTGTTACATAACTTGAATAATTTTTCTTTTTCTCACGGATACATGTTATGACTATTAGTGACAGTTTGCCCATGCATATATGACATCACTCATGAATAATCTACAATAATTATCAAAGACTATTCAGAAAACCTTAAAGTTATATGCTGTTAATCCCATGGAAAGTAATATGAAAACAAGAGGAAGAGGAGACATATAGTACTAATATTAAAGGTCACTACTATAACTATGAAAATATTTTATCTTCATACAGTTACATAGCTACAGTACTGTTAAGAATACATGTAAGGATAATGAGTGACTGTAATTTGCTGTTGCTGGTCCTTGTTAATATACAACTAGAACATGCATCATTTACATTTATGTTAGCTATTGACTACTGAGTCCAATCAAGAAATATAAATGTACATAAGGTATCTTCATTGTCTGCATCCTGCTGTGTGTCACACTATGGTCTTTTTGGCCATCAAAGCAACAAATTTGAAACAAACCAATTCAGTACCACTGTATCGGAGCACATATTTAAGAAAATGCCTGACGATGATCAAAATATGGATTGAAACAAGTAGCAGATGCTAAATAAAACAAATGTTAATACAGTGATATTTAATCGGTTTGTTTGAAAATTTGTGATGTTGATGACAAAAAAAAAACCACACATATATAAGCTATACTGATTCAGGTTAAAGAGGTCAGCTGAGGAAACAGAAGGGCATAATTGTTATTGGTTAAGATTAAAGGAGTCAATTTATGGAATAAAGAACATAGTTCAACGACAGGCTGCGCCATAGCTCAAGCGGTTAGTCACTGGGTTCCCACCGTGGCAGCCTGGGTTCGATCCTGGGCCTGGTCAAGTGGGATTTGTGGTGGACAAAGTGGCGCTGGGGCAGGTTTTCTCCGAGAACTTCGGTTTCCCCTGCCAATCTTCATTCCACCAATTGCTCCATAATTACCCTCACCTATCATCTGGGGCTGGTACAATAGGCCAGAAGTGGCAGAAGTACAAGGGACTTAGTCCCACCCCACTAGCAATAAAAAAAGAATAGCTCAACGACAGGAGAAAGTAACTGGACAAAGTAACATATATGCTCAGTGGTCTAGGATGTGACTCAAAGAATGGGTTTCATGTGAAGAAAATACTGATTTTTAATATGATTCTGTATAAAATACACTCTCAAGTGGTGTTTGTGTTCCTTCATACCTTGATACCAGCACCACAGTAATCACACTGAACGTAACAACAGGGCTTAATAATGAAGTAGACATTTTTGTTCCATATAGAGGGCTATTCAGAAAGTAATATCTGGTGAGTTGGTAAAAAACAAGCAATAAAAAAATATTATATTGTGGCATATTTGCTGAAGACAGATTTATGAAGCCAGCAGAGACAGATGTTGCTAAATCATGGCTCTGCAAACAACAGCCGTTGCTAAGCAACTGCTCAGTAGTGATCATGTGGCTACCCCAACTGACACAAAAGCAAGAATGAAGTAACTGTGGGAAGCGGTGTTTTCTATGAGGAATGTGCAAGATGTTATAAGCACGTAAATGAGTTAATCCCCGTGTAGAGGTTGGTTCGAATACTTGAACCATAGCTTAGCGAGTTGTAGGAGGTGAAGAAAAGGGAACACGGTGCTTCAGGGTACAACTGAGCCACTCTGTTCCTGGGGGATATAAATACAGGGATCTGGTCCTCCAGGTTGGGGAGTCTCGCTTCTTAGACAGCGAAATATGGTTCTGAGGCCGGTGGGCCTCGGACCCGAGGATGACTGCTCTGGCAAAGGCCAGAAGAAATTGTGAGTGACAGATTCGTCCTCTTGTCAGGCACGATGTGCCACATCAACAAACCTGCAACTGTCTGAGTTTAGTATAAATTTGGTCTCAACCAGTTCTTCAGTTAGGTAAACTGGTTGTAGTCGCTTGGAATGAGAGCAGGACTCTAAGGAGGGTGGCCAAAGAGTTCCCAGTTGAAATGCTCCAGCAGTGCTCGAGTGCGAGTAGCAGGACTCGTATGTGGACGTGCAATGTCATGGAGAAGCACTGAACCGTTTGTTAGCATTCCATGCTTTTTTTTCTGAATAGCCCTACACATTTTCTTTAGTGTTTCGCACTATACTTCTGACGTTACTGTGATCCCTTGCTGCATGAATTCAGCCACCAGCACTCCTTTCTTGTCCCAGAAAACAGCTGCCATCAGCTTTCTGGTAGACAACGTTTGTTTACACTTTTTTTTGTTTGTTTGGTGAATGTGGTGTGCTCTTTGGTTTCAACATTCATAAATGCAACCTACGTTTCATCAGCTGTTACTCGTACAATGTGATTGAGAAATTCATCGCCATCTTTGTGGCATCGCTCTAAAAGTCTAAGAAAACGAAAGTCATTCTATGTGTTTCGTGCTCACCAGTGAGCATTTTCAGAAGCCATCTTGCGCAAAACTTGTGTTAGCCTAGCATAACTGTAATAATCTCGTATAGAACAGTGCATGAAATTTGTGGGAATTAACACAAAAGTTCAGAAATTGTAAAGCGCCGTCTTTCACAAATGTTTTGGTCAACACTTTGAACAAGATCATCACTCACTACAGATGGCCGACAACTTCGCTCTTCATCGTGAACATCTGTTCGCCCATATTTGAACATTCTACATCATTATCTTACAGTTCCTTCACTCATTATATTTTGGCCGTAAACGATTCGCATAATTCACGAAGGATTTCCGTAGCACTCATGCTTTTAGCATGAAGAAAGCGGACGACAGTGCGAATTTTTCAGCTGGCAGGACTATCAATCGCAGGACAAATCATAACTCACTCTGTAGAGACATGAACAAACGTTAGGTAACCAGTTACATGGCAATGAGTCATCTGATGCCACCTCACAAGTTGAGTCCCCCTTCCCCCGCTCGTACATGAGTTGCCTAAAATAAATAAAAGTTACTTTCCAAATATCCCTCATACAGCATGTAATAATTTACACCACTGTATGAAGAAAAAGAGCGTTGAATACAAAAGAATTCATGTAATTTGAAGTTGTAATAATGGACAATGTTCATTAATCTTTCACTATGGTGTGAAACAGTTTTCTCAAACATCAGTTGCAAGCATATGTCTTTTTAGTGTGTAATAAACTATGCCACTGAGGCCTTTAACCTTAACAATTCAATAAAATGGAAACTTCTTCTTCTGATACATATACAGAAGGGCTTATCCAAAAAAAAAAAATATCCTTTCATTCCAACAGTCAATTATCCGGCCACCAGTTACCACACAGTGACTCATGAATTGATGTAAATGAACTCTGCGGCTGTATTGGCCAATTTTTATATGAAGTGTGCAGTTTATTTCTGTTAACTTCTGGATTCTTCTTCTCAGAAATTGTCAGCTGTAGGCTTTCTCTGTGTTTGTGTTAAAACACTGAGTATTACAGTAGAAGGAAGAACTCTTATGAGAAATGTGTTCATAAATTTTATTAGCAGCATCCAGATTCACCTTGATCCATCAAACTGTATGTGTTAAATGTGCACGTAAATGGCATGAAACTTGGTCAGCTGCCGACAGGAAGTGACACCAATCAAAGCACGTCATCACACAAGAAACTCTTGAATGCATCCAAACAAGACTCAGAGGGTGGTAAAATTTTTGGCGATCAGCCATGTCAACTTTGAACTAAAAATGAACGCTTCAGAAAGCTCCTCAGTCTCCATCTTCAGGGTCTAGATGGGGAACAAGGAGATCTGTGAAACGTTGGTTTTTAGTTTAACATTGACATGGCTGATCACCCAAGAAAGTTTTAACACATTCGTTCAGCATGGAAACTTAAAATCTTATATGAGACTCAGAATGTGTTTAAAAATGTTACTTCATCAATAGCCCACAAACAAATGAGCTCTCTAAAGTATTTGTTCTTAAAGCCTTGAAAATCCTGAAGATTCATTTATACAGAATAGTGCAACATTTTCAACCTACAGGTCCAGTTTTTACTCTAAGTTCAGGAAATTGACATGATAATAGGTGAACTGCTGAAGAATGACAGGATAAATGAGAGTAGAAATTAGGCTCAGTTCAGATTTATCCACCACAAAACCAAGTTCTTCTGATGGGACAGAGCATGGTTTGTAATATGAATTCTAGGTACAAGACACAGAAAGGTTTTATTGAGTTTCATTTTCTGTTCTCCATCTTGTTGACACCATCTTTGTGAATTTGTCAAAGTTCTTTAATATACAATTCTCTGGCTTTTTTAAAATCTCAGTTTTATTTCTATAAAGCAGTGATGATTATTATTATACAGTACTAATTAGCTTGTTCATATCATTATTCTGTAGTAAAGTATTTAATCCTACAATTTATAGAAAGTATTTTAACCCTTTTTCACTAGCTGTCAGCTGCAGTTTAATACAGTTCCCATAGAGCTGCTGTAAGGTTAAAGTGTAGAAGGAATTAGCAGACAGTTCTCTATATATTCAGACCTCACAGCAATTTAGCATAATGAATTCAGAAAATGTTGAAATTTAAATCGTGATTCAGCTACCTTTCATAGTACTGAAGAGATATTTGTAAATCATGTATTGATATAAAAATATATACTGTTTTATTAAGGGGCACCCGGTAATGTAGTTGGTTGAGGCACTATGCTACAAGCTGGAAGGTCGCGGGATCGAATCCCGATGAGGTCACTGGATTTTTTTTTTCAATTTATCTAATCCTTCCAGCCGCACTATGGCCCTGGGGTAGACTCAGCCTCCAACAGAAATGAGTATAAGGAGTATTCTTGGAATATTCTTGGGGGTAAAGGGCAGCTGACGCATAGGGCTGACAACCTTGCCGCCATCTATGAGCCGATTGTCTAGAAAATGTGGGAACCTCAACATCTCACAACCCCATGGGCCTCCAAGGCCTGTTACAGGAATATTTTACTTTTTCACTGTTTTTATAAAATAAATAAACCTATTTTGTCAGTGTATGTTATTTTGTTCTCAAAAATAATATTTTCACTATTTCATTTATTATCATTGTCACTTAAATAATGTCATTAGTAGTTATACAGAAAACTATTGCTATGTAGTAAATGACTGATTCCACAGAACAGGGTACTTCTTGAGATGATAACAGTCACTCAGCTAGTCAGGAAACTCCCCTTGTTTTGTGAAATGTAAAGTTTCTTTATCATGTCGAAAGAGTTCCCCAATAAATTTTATCTTAAGTCAGCTGAATGAAATCCATATCCTCATACCCAGCTGCCCTAGGATCTCTTGATCTCATCTCTCAATCTATGGCAAACCACTTTTGTTTCTCAGGACAAGAAGTGACAATGTGAAATTACAGATTATTTATATACTAATTTTTTAGATTACAAAAGAATTTCTTCCAAGTTACAAACAAAATCATTAAACGCTTAAGGTAACTGGCATATAATATCTTGCAGTAAAATAAGATCTTTCTAAATCCTTTTTTCGTTTTAGATTTAATATCTTCACATTTGTCTCTATTTTAATTTTCTATTCCAGCATGACCCCAGGGCCACGCGGTAATGCAGGTGGCTGAGGCACTAAGCTACAAGCTGGAAGGTTGTGGGTTTGAGTCCTGATTGTTTTTTTTTCTTTTTTCTTTTCAATTTACCTAATCCTTCCAGCTGCACTATGGCTCTGGTGTTGACACAGCCTCTTAACAGAAATGAGTACCAGGAATCTTCCTGGGGGCTAAAGGGTGGCCAGCATGTAAGGCTGACAACCTTACCACCATCTATGAGCTGACTGTCTATAGAAAATATGGGAGCCTTGACATCTCACAACCCTATGGGATTCATTGCCTGTTACAGGGACAGAAAAAAAAATTCCAGCATGACCCTGAGTGTTTGAGAAATCTAAACAAAACCTCCTGGGTCTCCCAGGTACTTACCTGATGTGGGTGGTACAACGGGGTTGGCCATGCCATTGAGGGTTGCATGAGGGATCTGTGTGGCAAGAGCTGCCATGGGATTGATGTAAGTGCCTTGAGCTGTAGCAGCTGCCATCAGAGCTGCCTGTTGCTGCACGGGCTACCCGCAAAGCGCCATGCAACATGGGGAAAGGCAACAACAAGTACAGATCAGATGAAATTCATACACTGCAGCATGTTCACAATATTTCTTATTTCTGATTCTAAAACTTGAACAATTCTTTGATAGTAGACAATGTACAGTTTTAAACTCTCACAAACAAATAAATATTGCAGACTGAAAGTGTTGCCCAGTGCAAAGACGGAAGATGCAAACAGCAAATTGCATTCTTAAGGGGGAATGTCTTGATAAGTAGCCACTTGGAATGACAGGGATAAAAGATGACGATAGTATAATAGAAATTACGAGAAGGAAACGTGACTATATAAGGTGGGTTCAATTGCATCAGAACAGTCTCCAACAGTGAGTGCTGGTTATTAACAAATTTGGAACTACTTGTGGTTAGTTATTTGGTTTGTGATGCCATCTAGTCTTGTAGACAGATACCAATATTTTGGAGGTACATGCTGAATATCTTCAGGCTGATGTAAATTTTGAGGTTTTAATGGCAGTGATTGTCCAGATTCTTGTACTTTGGGTTGTGACATCTGCAGCCTTGTAGGCAGATACTAATATTTTGGAGGAATATTCTGCCTCTATCTTAAGATTTTTCACACCTAATCATTTTAAGTACTGCTAAAAACATGCTGAGAACATTGAATGAAGTGATCTGAACAATACCAAATCTGGAAAAGCATTATCCCCTCCAACACAGTCATGATTGATGACACGCATAAGCACACAACGTCCTCCACTGTTTTTCAGTATATCATGCTGGCATCCACTTTCCCATAACACTCATACTCGACTGTGCTGAAATAATGTTCAAACTGAGAAATCTTTTATAATGTGTAGGTGTCATTCCTCCAAACAGAAGACAAGTTGCTACAAAAATGAAAATGGAAATTGAAATGAAAGTGTTATCACCAGTTGAAAATACTTTGAGGAAATGTCTAATTATTTTGCAAACTAATTTTATAAAACTGTCATTTATGATTTTATTATATACATAAGTGAATTATAATTATGGGAAAGCCAATGCATTAAGTCCAATTTGAGATTTATGATCACATCTCTAAATTGTGCAATAATAAATGGCATGACAAGAATGTTGTTTTACATGAATATACACCTATAATACAGGGTTATTCATAAGTCCGTGAAACATTTTAAAAATTCACAAATGAACTGAGCATCGGATCGTGGTAATTCTTACGTCGACAGAGAATGAATCTCTCCAAGTTTCCTTAAAGCCTCCATGCCTGCTAATCTCAGAGATCTTCGCAACCATATCATCACTGCTGTGGCTCCGGTCAACTATGATACGCTGACACAGGTGTGGGACGAAATGGATCATCGCATAGATGTCTGCCGTATCAGCAAAGGTGGACACATTGAGCATCTGTGAGCTATGTAAAAAGAACTTGGTGAGTTTATCTCTATTTCAGTGTAACAAAATTTGGGATCCGTTGCGTAGTTTATTTATTATAAATTTTCAAAATGTTTCACAGACTTATGAATAGCCCTGTATACTGCAAATTGTGGATCTGGAAAATTTCCGGTGTAGGATCATGTGAAAGGTGAGGCAAAGGCCTAATACGTACAGTACAGATTTTCTGCTTAATGACATTTCATGAGCACTGTTAATAAAAATGAAGAGCATTAAATTGTGCAATGCTTGTCATATACAATATGTTAAAGTAATATGATGAGGCAATAATACAAGAATGTCTAATAGGGGATACCGAAAGTGCCATGTACCTGTGCATAGGCACCATATGCCCCAAATTGGTTGAAGACAAAAGGGTTGAGGAGACTCATGTTGCCGGCCATCTGTTGCATGCGACGCAGCTGACGCTCTTTCTCTGTGTCCGCGAACTTCACCACGAGGCTTGAGGAAGCTCCCTAAAACAATGTGCCATTTTATATTAGACAAAATAAAAACACTTGCTCATTTACTCTAAGTACAGTTTCCAAATGATGGGATATGGGAACTAGTGGCTACAGTGCTAAAAGTCCCAATGAAAGAGGGTTAAAGTCCTCAACTCATGAAATAAACGTCTGTGTGCATCTGTCAACATTAATTCACAATTACAAATGAGTAATGTTGTATTTTATCGTCCTGTTGCACTGATTCTCGTCCATGATATGTATGTATTGACCGTCTTCTAGTGCACACAATCTCACATGTCACTTCACTACATGTTTCGCCATCACTGTGCCATCCTCAGGTGTGTTATTTACGTTAAACTACTGCACTGCTCGCCATCATGTGTCGTTTATAAAATGATTTAAAATGTATATTCTTCATGTATTACAATATAATTTATATATATTAACATTTGTTAAGATTTATCATCTTATACGTCTATTTCAAATTCGCGTATTATATCATTCTTCCACTATGGAAGTCGTTCTTCCTATATTTTGTGTATATCGTGTCTTGTGCTGTGTCCTTTTTTGGTTGCGTGCGACAACCCACTACACTACTCTTCGTACACTTATGTAGAGACCGGCTGCGGGCTGAACCGAACTGTTGCTGACTGGACTCCTCTACACCTACACATTGAGAGCGTTCTGGAAACATCCTTTGTCGGCTGGGAGGGGTAACCGATAGCCGTCGTAGAATGGACAAAAGTTCCGGTAGCCTTATCAACATTCCTCGCTACCAATTCTCAGAACAGAGCAAAACTGGACACAAGTTGCCTTTAATACAAAAATGGTAATAAGTACGACACCGGCGGTGGTGTTACAATTACACTGCACCACTGGAAGTAGTCTTGTGCAGAAGACGGCTAGTAACGAACTGCTCGTCCTGCCTACATTGCCACGAAGTGACACTGCCGATCGAGGCCGAACAAGTACGAAGAAATACCGCGCAGTATACGGTCCAGAATTAGTAAAATTGTGAATAATATTAATATTAACATAATTTGGAATATCAATATATTTTAAACACAATCTTAATTAATGAATTTGAAATCTATGAACAAGTATTTTTTTACCAGTACTCATTGGAAAATTAGTTCAATTGGCGCATTTCTGCACAATTCTTTCGCGGGCCGGATGTGACCCGCGGGCCGTAGTTTGGAGACCCTTGATCTAGACAATCGGCTCAAAGATGGCGGTAAGGTTGTCAGCCTTACGCGCCGGCCGCGCTTTACTCCACAGGAAAATTATTTAATTAATTCCTAGTACTCATTTCTGTTAGAGGCTGAGTCGACCCCAGGGCCATAGTGCGGCTGGAAGGTTTAAGTCAACTGAAAAAAGAATCCAGTGACCTCACCGGGACTTGAACCCGCGACCTTCCGGCTTGTAGTATAGTGCCTCAACCAACTACGCTACCGCGTGCCACCACTAATTACAGACCGATCAGAATTTTAAATAGTTCTACCTAAATTTTTGCGAGTATAATACATGATCACCTCTCCTTTCATTTTTAAATTTAAACTTCGCCAATCTCTGCATGGTTTTATTAAATAAAAGTCATTTATGTCAGTTCACAAGGGCCGACCAATTCAAATAATTTTGACCTCAGCCAGAACTTTGACAAAGTTCCTCATAGTCTTTTGCAACATAAACTCAACAATTTGGACTTTCTGATTATTATATTAATTTATTTCAAAGTTATTTATCAACTAGATTTTCTGTTTTTCCACTTTAGGGAGATTTTCCCAACTGTGAGGAGTGTCATAAGGCTCCAGTTTGGGACCTGCATTGTTCAATGTTTTCATTAACGATATATGCGCCAAAATCCGTCTTTTTCCCAATTCCTGCTCTTTGATGACGATGATTTAAAAATATTTCGTGTCATAAAATCCACTAAGAATTGTAAATCACTATAATCTCATACAGACTCCGCAAAGAAATGGTGCATTGAAAATTAGATGAAAATGAACGCATTCGAAACAAATATAATTTCTTTTACTCGTAAAAGTAACAGTACAGTTTTTAATTACTTTGGGGTTATGTTAGGCAGAAAACTGCGTTTTCATCGCCATGTTGGTTATTTGCATTCTGAGGCACTAAAGCTGTTACGACTAATTCGTTTGATCACATACAATTTTACATCTTTGGATAGTCTAAAATTTTATATATTACTTTAATTCGTTCAAAGCCTGAGTACACGTTTCCGTTTGGAATAACCTTACTTTAGCAGATTCTAACAAGCCGCAATCACACAAAAAAGTTTGCAAATTTATGCTACAATCAATTTATTCGTACCATCTCCTTTTTTAATTACGAATCAATGTTGATTTATTCACATTTGTGAAACGCTTTATTCCAGAGAACAAAATCTTGACACTTTATCTCTTATTAACATTTTCAAGAACACAATTGGTCGTTTTTCTATTATGGATACTGTTGGTCTCCGTGTGCCCACTAAGCAAACTAGAGACTTTTCTATTTTTAACGTTAGCAATGTCTCAGGACTTAGCCCTTTAAGGTGTGTCACGGCTACAAACAACATCTGAAAATATCTGGAAGTTTTCAATAAACGTAACATCTCCCTTGACGATACATTTTCCTTTGCTTAATCCTACCGAATTACGTCATTATAGTGCTATCTGTATTATTTTATTGCGTAGAATTATTTTTTAGTTTAATTCTAGTTCTAGTTTTAGCCTACCTTTTAAAATTCGCTTAGGGGGGAGGGGTGGAGTCCACCTGGGTCCACTCGGCACGGCGGCCGCTGATTGGACTAGGGTATTTGCCCCGGGTGATTATCATGATGGAGAACTCGGTGGAAAGAAAATTGACAGGGAAAACCGAAGTACTCGGAGGAAACCCGCCCCAGAGCCACTTTGTCCACAACAAATCCCACTTGACCAGACCCGGGATTGAACCCGGGTCGCCGCGGTGGTAGCCTACCTTTTGTTATGTACAATTTCAGTGCTCGCCTGTTATTAGCCACTCGTTGCTGGTAAGTACTTAAATAAAGGAACTGAATTTAATTGAACTACTAGCATAGAGAATGTTGAAATTGTATTGGAAAATTACTAAAAACAAATTTTATTGAAAAAGACTTACTTCAGTAACTTGAAAAGCTCTGGTAGGACAGCTACACCTATAATGGGATTCTAAATATAACAGAATAATAAAAAATTTTAAATGCTACTAAAATATTTCCATCAAAATTTATCTATAATAACAAACTCCTGAAAAATACCTAACTTCTATTCAGGGCGGAAGAAACCACCCAAGATTTGAGGTACCCTTCCAGGCGAAGTTATGGATGTGTTTACAAATTAAAGGCCTATAGTGGTATTATTTTCCTACATTATTTATTTTATAAGGAAAGACGGGTTTAGCAAACCATCCTGTTAGTGCATCTGTCTGCACTAATATTTTCTTTTAAACAAAATACAGTTAAGTATGCAGTAAACCTATATGCAGATTTTTCTTGTAGACCTATGTTAAAATTGTCAAACATGGCGCATGCTCTAAGCTTCCGTTCCGTATCTAAAATGGGAAAGTTTATCGCAACTTAAATCTGTAATAATGGAAATTATTTTATACTAAAAGTGATCACCATATTGTGCAATTTCTAAACAATAGCTCCTGCTAACATGATTATATAAATAAACATATGAAGAAGAGCAGGTCTTATGATTTCTTCCAAAAGTCACGAACAACGTGATGCACCTTTAATACATTTTATAACTTTGAAGTATGTTAAATATATGTACTCAATAATTAACAGAATTTGGCCTGGTAATTAATTTTGAGTTTATCTGGCGCATTTATTTTACATGCAGGAGTCTCAATAAAAAGTGGTTACCTAAGTTCTTTCCATTTCTCCTTATACAAAGCAGATTTTTGCATTGCTGGGTTTTTTATTTCTTTAGCCTAAGTCGTTTATTCAGAGGATCCGTCCAGGTCCGAGGCTTTTTGAACATTTTCGTAACAAGCTTATTTTTTTATGGCGAGGAGTTGTTAGCCATACACCCAGCACCCAAGATGGAGGACCATCCCTTGTCGGCTGTCAGCGACTGCCTATTCAATATATTCGCAGATTCCATCCATACCTGGAGGGCGTCTCGATCTTATAGAGATAGGAAGGGATGGTATGGATTGGATTGATGTGGCTCAGGATATGGATCAGTGGAGGGCTCTTGTGAACACGGTAATGAACCTTCGGGTTCCATAAAATATTGGGAAATTCTTGAGTAGCTGCACAATTGGCGGCTTCTCAAGAAGGGTTCAGCTCCATGAGTGAGTGAGTGACTGCAATATACTGACTATAGTCAATAGTTTTTATATGAAATTAAAATATACTGCAATATATTTTACCGCTTGAAGCTACTGACATAAACAAAGATTCGAAAGGAGCAGGGAACATTATCGTAATATATTTCACCACTGCCACCTGCCAAAACTGCCAGATTAAAGAATTAGACGTCAGTCTTGAAGAATAACTGTGCAGAAGAAACGCAGTAGTATGCTTATTTTTAGAAATGGGCCAGATATTTCAATTCCATGCTCTCTGTTACAAGTTTAGTTTCTTTTACTGAAGTAGATGTTTATGGGCTGACTCGCCTGTCATCTTCAAACATCAGGCACAAAGTAACGGCACATGCATTGATATCACATCTATCAGATCCCTTCCTTTATCTTCTGTTTTCTGTTTCTAGTTATTCTCATTCAATTCCACAGAATTATTAAATTCGGTTACCCAAATCGATGTTACATAGTATTTCACTAACCCACAATCTCCCACAAAGAGGGGCTGAAAATAGGATTTTGCTAGATAGTTATAAAGGATTTACGAACCTAATTTCACTGGTAAAATTTACAAAAAGAAATGCTGCAGGATACAGCAAAGGGATGAAGTTCTTCGCGTTACTTTTCCGATGTTAAATGCATAAAAAAGCAAAAGGATTCACAATATAAAACTGAAGAGA